TCCTAAAGGGATTTCTATGTCATAACACTTTTCTGTAGCAGCCTGCGCCGAGAAGGCGTGGACCAAGGAAAAGAAAGTGCCACGACAACAGCAACAGGTAGACAGAGAGAGAGAGAGAGAGGGAGAGAGAGAGAGAGAGAGAGAGGGAGAGGGAGAGAAAGAACTTTGGAAGGAAGTGGCAGCCGCTCCATGATGATATTTTCATACCGTGTCTCTAGCCGTTTTCCTTTTCAGCTGGTTTCTTTTAGGAAGCCCGGGCACAGCCGAACTGGCCTCGCCACGAGAGAGTGCTCTTCGTTTTTCTGCCTGCACACACAGAGCCATGTCTGAGTGCAAGGACCCTGTGTTGCTGGAGAACTCACATGCATCAGGGCGGAATGCCCTGAAGCGTGTGTGTACAGGTTGTGCTGCAACAGACAAGTCCTTGCATAGGTCTTGCAAGACCAAGGCCAAGGGAGATGACGAAACCCCAGCAGAGCAAGAAATGAGAGCCAACAGGTTCCGAGACTGGGCCGCAACAGAAAGGTTGGTGACTGGATGTGCGCCTGAAGAGCTCCCGGTCCGTTGGAAGCGGGAGTTGGAGAAGCCAACGAGCGAGACGAAAACCGTCAATGGCGAGGTCCTGTTGCGTTACTGGGCCGGAGTGGAAGACCGATTAGGAACGAAACATTCCATCACCGCCGGCCGCAAACAAAGGTGCGACCTTCACTCGTCCGAGGATTTGACTGCTTTCGGCAGTCAAGCAGAGATGCGGCTTCAGAGGGGCGAGACGTTGCTCCGGAGCGACCGCATGGCGGCAGACGTGAGCGGCGTCGAAAAAGAAACTCAACTTCTCCAAATCCAACAGGATATGGAAGCAACGGCCCGCCAACGAATGCTAGTTGAACAACAATTGTTCGAAGTGGCCGAGAAAATCGAGGAGCGAAAAAAGCTGCTGGCCTCAACCAAGCCCAAGATCTCCTCGGCCGCTTTGGAGAAGCTCCAGTTCGAAAATTGCATTGGCCGAGCAAAGGCTTCTTGCGACGCGACTCTTCCCTGAACCGCTTCAAGACTGCCTTGAAGACCATGAAGTTGGAGATTGAGCAGATGTCCGAGCAAGACCCCACCACCATGTCCGACATGAAGACAAGGGTGGAGAAGTTCGAAGGCATCTACACAGGTGCCGAGAAGTACTTGGAGGAGAAGATCGAGTACCTTGGCTGTGCATTCTCAGAATAGAATCTTTCTCAGACCTTTTGATAGTTTGGGAAACAGCAGAATAGAGTCCTTCTCAGGCCTTTTGAGAGTTTGGGAAACAGCAGAATAGAGTCCTTCTCAGAGTGTTTGATAGTTTGGGAAACAGCAGAATAGATTCCTTCTCAAAGTGTTTGATAGTTTGCCGAACAACAGATAGAGTCCTTTTCAAAGTGTTTCATAGTTTGGGAAATACCTAGTCTAACATTCTTGTCGTTTGCCGAGCCAAGGAAGTGCACTGCCGCCTTGGAAAGCAACCCTTCGGACACCTCCGAGGAAGCCGCCGAGCAGTGTCACCAGTACTTCATGGATGTTCCGGCCTTCGTCAAGGGGTTCTCAGCAACAGATGAGGTGAAAAAGGTGAAGGAGAACTTGGGGGATTTCAGGGCCTGGTGTGCCGAGTACAAGAAGGGCTGCAGCAAAAAGAAGCGACTGTCAGTTACTTCAGCAAACAAGGCAGCCAAGAGCCAGAAGACAGGCCAGCTGGCTCCCGGCAGCAACTCCCCACTTGGCGAGGCCGTGGCGAGCCTCTTCTGGAGCCAAGCCTTGGAAAACATCGACGTGGATCAGGGCGTGCAGTTTGCCGCTGCCGACTGGATTGAGAAGGAGAACCAGGCCTATGCATTGCTTCTGGCTGCCGCCGAGTCGCCGAGAACCAGCAGCTGTTGCAGGAGTGGCTGGAGTTGCCGTACTACGAGCAGCAGAAGACTTGGCTGGCTGAAAACTGGAAGAAAAGCAACGGCCCCGAGCTGTCAACCAACGTGGTTGCCAAACCGCAGCTTTGCACCAAGCTCAACAAGGATTGGATGAGCTGCCTTGGCAATGCATCCAAGCAGATCAAGGATGTCGCCACAGACAGCGATTTGAAAGAGGTGTTTTCGCCAATGTTTTGGAGCATGGGGAAAGACACCAGCAAGATCTACTTCACAACAAACAGACTTTGCCTTGACTGAGTTCAAGATGTGCTTGGAGGGCACATCTGTGTGCTGCGGGTTCCAGATCCAAAGCACGATGATGAACAACGGCTTCAAAGCTTTCTGTGATCAGGTCCTGGCGACGGACCCAAAGGAATTCCTGACTATCTGCCAGTCAAAAGGCTGGATTGTTCTTCTGTCCCCGGGCAAAGCTCTGGGCATCCCAGCCGGCCACTGCTCTTCCGTGCCATCGGCAGTTCTA